AAAAAAAAAACATTCAGCAGATACCATGTTTCCTTAGTTGATTTCCGATGGTCTAGCACCTGAACATAGTGGAAGTGTGAGACGGGAGGCTTGTAGGCGTGTCCGGTTGACTCATTTGATTTTGGCCTGTATGGCAATAATAAGTTAGTTTTTGTTTAATTTTTGCTATATCATCATGTGCCCTAATGCAGAAATCCGCTGTTCTCAGGTCATACGAAAGTTTATCTTGACCGACTTGCCACTTCGCGTTCGAAGCCGTCGTCAGGTCGATGGGCGAAGAACTAGAGAGATAGTGGCCTCCTTGCCTGAGTCTCCCTTGTCCGTCCTCCCGGCGTCGCAGTTGAATTCGCTAATCATGCGCCAAGTTGCGCACAGCAAGCCTCGGCACCTCACGGCTAAATAGTCGCGTACCAGGAATCGGGGGTGAATATCCTTCAGCGAATGGGAGGCGTCTTCTCGTTCTGAGTCTGTCCGCGGCTCGAGTCTACCATGGCACTCGAAACATGTTGTATATGACGGAGATATTCTAAACGACGCTTGTCCCGATATGACTGGTAGGTCATGGGTGACCCGACCGAAGACTGGGTTCTCTCACTTGTGCTGAACAGGTCAAGTGGATATCGTCACTCTTATTTCGGATCCCATGGACGGAGATCTCGAGGACATATCGGAGTCTTTTCAGAACAAGGTGAAACTTGGGGCTTGGCCAGAACGTCACACGTCCCAAGGCTCAAAAGGCTGCAAGAGTGTATCAGCCGCAGACGGGCAGTGCGACGAGACCTTCAGCTATACAGAGAGAGGGGACTACTGGAAGCAGTCTTGGACAAACTAGTGCCAAATGCCATTTGGATCTTCAGGACCACAGTATACCACTTTCATTTTTGGAGAAGTGGAATGACAGCTCTTACAACATCAAGATTTGAGATGGAGGACAGAAACATCACTGGCAAAACAGCAGCGTCTCCGATCCTTCTTTTGTACTTCATCAGCTTCTCGCTACACACATAACATCCTCCAGAACAAGGGATACCGAACCAGCGGAGGAAATCGTGTGTGGTCATTCTTCAGACGAAGGGAGACCGGTATGATCTTAACACTACCGCCAAGGAGCTGCTGAGCGGGCCTTTCAAGTTGTTCATGAAGATCATTCTCACTCGCGTACATATCGCAAACATTGCACCTGTAGGGTAGGCTGGATTCCAAAATGGATTCAGCTGCTTAGGCAATATCGAGTGGTCGCAACGGTCATCAAAGTGTACCGAGAATCCCAATGCCTCCTGTCTTTACCTTTAATGACTAGTCGTCGTGGACGAGTCAAGTCGTGGACACTCCCTGTATGAGAACACTGGCTGACTGCCCTAATCGCTGCAGCGCGATGGTATAAGTGTATTCTATTCCTCGCCATCCCCATAGGGAAGGGATTGGAACTATGCGACACTATTTCACCGAAGATGCTCACAGCCGCGCTGTAGCGGGTTATGAAGGCCTCAGACTGGGACGGAAAGGGCGTGAGTGTGGACGGACGGCTCCTCTGAAATCTCCTATATGCGGGCGACATCGTTCTCTTTTCAAGCAGCGTTGCGCAATCTGAAGCCACGATTGCTGCACTCAATAAAGCAGGAAAGAAGATAGGGATGCGGATCGACCAAACAAAGACCCAGTCCGTGGAAAAGACCTGGGCTGACGAAAGTCAAATTAATATCGATGGCATACCTCAAGCAGATCTCGTCTTACGTTTACGTCAGGCCTTCCACAAGCATGGACAACGATATGAAGGAGAGAGTAGTGAAACGGTAGAAAGCAGCGTAGAAGCCTCCGGATCTATGAAAAAAGTCAGCAACCATTTGGCTGGTCCACAACTTCGCGCCGACCTGTTCGTCCTTCCTACGCCCTGTTTCGGGAAGAAGACATGGGTGACCAGTGCATCCACGTCAAAGGCTTCGAGCATAATTCACAAAGCATTCGAGCGATTCCTTTCTAGGTTCGACCGGCTCACTCAATATCGGACTGGACTCTGCAGCTCCGATATGCGCAGAATGTCTGGCATTCGCCACAACATGGAATACATGAAAATCGTCAAACTTCGTCGGGCTGAGGAGAAATTGTGACAGATGAATGAGAAAAACAGTCGGATGGGTTCCCGTAGTGTCTTCATGATGTGAGGATTGGCCCGCTGCGAGATGGGGGAATCTGCATCCTTTTCAGAATTACCATTTCACATTTTCTCATTCTGTTTGCATTGACAATGAAGAACCCCGAAAAACGTCGGGTGGAAAAATCGTAACCAACAACTTAACAGTTCTGCTTTTTTTTGCATTTTGATCGACATCATTCTGAGCTATGGGAGATGTGGAAGACGTAATGTTTGAGCACTGCCATCGGAGGCTGATCAAAAATGAACGTGCTTCCCGTCATTAGGATAATTATAGTAAATCAATGGCCGGTACATCACAACTTGTCTGCTACTCAATGCAAGCACTCCGAATACTTACTGTAGAGATCTGATCCTCAGGCATCTTAGCAATAAATTCGGCTGTCGATGGCTATCATCACCTGTGCAACATTAGCAGATTCATCGCAACACCAACAGCTTTGGATGCGCACATCAAAGCCACTTATAGTGTTGCTATATCATCAGAACCTCAGTCCTCACTGCTTTGTGGTATTACACATTGAAATTTTCCCTGAAAACCAAACAGTGAATGAGGGAAGGCACACAGCAGGGTGACAATGAAAATTGACTGAGAATTTGCAAAGTCTCTACGTTCTTCAAAAAAATCGGAAGGTTCAAGCAAATATGTCTTTTCTGTTAACAGCACAACAAGTAAAAAAGCAGTTCATCAGGTCATCTCGATTTTATGTTCAGTTGCGCCCATGGTGTGTTGCGGGTAAGATATCAACTAGATGCTATTGCGCAGGAGAAAACTGCTTCCGAGATACGTGGAGCGTTTTTGTGAGACTTTGAAAATAAATACTTCCAATGACGAATCCCCAATGAAACGCTAAAATTTTATTCCAGGTATTTCTTCTAGAGGTTTATCGCGAGGGATTTTCGAATAAAATGAAAGGGCAAAGCAAGAAACTCGCAAAATCGTATGGTAAACTCAAACAGATAGACCAAGTAACTACCGGTTCCGGGCACTCTGTAGCATCTACACTCTATTGTATCCTCAGAGAAATGAAAAAAGAATTCAAACTAGGTGAGCTAGTTTATATACGAGTGTCTTTTGTCATCCGACCACTAACCTAAATGTGTGTCTCTGACCTGCGAACAATAGTAAGTTATGCAGCGTTTCACTAGATTTGTAAATAGAGGTGACCGTGTTCCAGACTGATAGCTTTCCATTCTTTTCGTTTTTAGTTTCTTCGCTTTAAGCTGTGGCGTAGCAGCACTACAGGATTGGATGCTAGACCTATTGGGGATCACGTGTTAGAGTAGTTGTTAAATATAATAAAAATTGAAGTTAGGAACAGAAAAAAAACAAAGAGAATCCGAAAGGAATGCATTTCTGGATTTCGTTTTGGGTGACGCGCAGAGTTTTGACGTGACAAGAACTCGAGAAGCGCTGAATGAGATATACCCAAAGTGGTTCGCACAATGATCGCATAAGGAAATAGGAGTTTTTGTACGATTGAAACCACTCACTCCCTACGAGACGATCTCAATCAGGCGTGAAAATTCCATGGTCTCTATGCTGTGTATATATTGTTGGTCAGCAAATAAAGGGATATTAACTCAAAAGCGCACCAGCAGTGAGAATTCGGAGCATGAGAAAGATTATGATTTGAACAGGAAATTTTTCAATAATGCTGGTAGAAATTTCACTGTTATGCAGAAGGGTAATGTAAAATGTGGAGCAGAGCGGGATATAAGCGCTTTTCTCATAGAGCTACCGAACCCATTTTTTTGAAATAATTGTTCTGCACAAAATTAGTACCCCTAACCAGTTACAGTGAATTTTTCCGTCTCGAGAAACAAAGTTCTCTAAAGATGCTTCACTTTCTCACTGTTATGATTGAACTGAGTCCATGACCTTTGATTGCTGCATATCGGCAGAAGTTGAATGCTTCTTCATGCATTCCAAGTAAAAGGAAATCATGCTACCTGCTAACGACCATCATCTTGCCTCTTTTCTTTTCAAAGAGATTGGCGAGCCCTAACGGTCCTCTGGAACTGTCGCACAAGCATGATCTGATGACTGATCATTCTAAATTCTTCCATGTTCGCCTTTTTCGGAACCTGAGCATCTGTACGATTATTAGTCAATGCTCCTGTGCCAATCAGGATTTTAATGGTGGAATATTTATTCGCCTGACGTTTCGACAAACTCATCCTTATCAAAGGCCTGAAAGCGAATCGTAACTTCAGAGTGTTACCTATCACGCTTGACGTAGACCACCAACACCGAGCAATTGCTCAACTTTAGAGACAATAGAGCAAGCAATTGAGAAAGCCCGGTCAACCACGACCCTTTATTAAATCGTGACTTGACACGTATTAGTCTCTACCATCAGAGCCCACACAGAGTGATGTAAGGCAAGAGGTCACCAGTTATGTTGATGCACTCATTCTTGTTATTCATGCTCGGATTTCGGTGTCTTATCCGGAAAGCCTCGGGAGTTTTTCTGGCAGTGATACTGTCCTCGTAGGCCACAATCGCGCATTTAACGTCAAAGTCACAACCAGCATGACCTTCTCTTATGTGCTTCCCAAGCGGTGCAATCGAGAAAAACCTTCGTTCGCTAGCTAAATGTTTTTTCACACGAACGCATAACTGTCTCCCAGGTTCTCCAATATAGCAAGCATTGTCACACGTCAAACACTGAAGCTGGTAAACCACAGCTCTTTGTGCACAGTCTCCACTTTTCTATAAGGGCAGATCACGCAGTTATCCATGATGCAAACCTGGCCATAGAGACAATTTCTAACCAACTGGTGGTTGATGTTTTCTCTTGGTGTGTTACCAAAGAAAAAGTCAATGGCTAGATGCGCTATTTTCAGGCATTGCTGAATAACTGCGCTGAATCGATCTGATATGAATGGTAATTGGAAATACATCTAATGTTGAACAACTCATCTATTTATGGGAGACAGTTNTGCGGTTGACCTGGCTGTCTCAATTGCTTTATTGTCTCTACAGGGGTGCCCAAAAAAAAAGAGACACTTTCACTGCTCGGCTTGTACCACCAATGTAATCAAACTTTATTAAATTCTGACTGAATATTACCACCCGCAAAATCAAGAACACATTGTACTCGATCACGGAATTCTTTAATGGTCTTCCGCACGAACGAAATCAAAAGTTTTGCCACGCATATTTGATGCGTCGTCGAGGTCGGCGATGCTCGTTTCCCACGACATCGCGGACCATTGCGGAGTTGTCGGGGTTACAGGAAGTCAGCGGTCTTCCAGATCCTAAGCGACGATGCCCAGGAATCTGTCCGTGAGCGACTCGACTGAGAAAGTTGCGTATCTGCTTGTTGCCGACCGATATCCCAAAAGTCGTCTTGAGCGCGTCCGCAATGGCAGACGGCTTCATATTTTGATGCCGATGTAGGAACCACACGAGTTCCTGCTTCCTTTCATCAAGCAACATTCTTAGTACAATTTACCCAATCACATTCTTCTGCTGCTTCAATCGGTGCGACGTATTCCGCCCTGGATCAGGCCCCATGCATAGTGTCTCTTTTTTTGGGTACCCCTATAAAGTTGAGCAATTGCTCGGTGTCGGTGGTGTCGTCAAGCATGATAGGTAACACTTTGAAGTTAGGATATGCTTTCAGGTCTTTGATAATGATGAGTTTGTCGAAACGTCAGGCGAATAAATACTTCACCATTAAAAAACCTGGATGGCACAGGAGTATTGACTACTTCTGAATTCTGATTTGAACATCAATATATGACGACTCACTGCACTGCACTTGTTGTAGTTTGTAATACTGCCAATTTGGATGAAATACAAGTAGCGCTACAGATCAGTTTTTCGTGCTTCAGAATTGAAATGAACCAACTCTCCAGCATATCCAAGGTGATTATTGTAAAAGCACTGTAGATGTCGCGGCCTTGTCTGGATCGTAGTATTATGTAATTCAATTTGAGTATGTGTTGAGTTAATTCATGTCTAACTGAGAGCGAATACTATAACAACTTACTGAAGTGACTTGACAGTAACATAGAACGAACACTATGAGCGGAAGCGTACTTGATACAGAGATATAACTAAATCCGTTCTTAGATGTTGTACCTACAATACTGATTCCTGATGACGCAGCAGTAGAGAAGGACTGGGAAAGTTTCGAAGATAGACTTCGTGGCAGGTTTGCTCTATAGTTTCACGATTCGGTAGAAGATTCCTTTGAAAACATTCTGTAGCAAACAGTCGCGAATACATGTAAAAAGGCTGCAAAGTGGGAAAAGGTCTGAAAAGAACATGTTCAAAGAGTTGCAGAGTTTATTTCTCTACCTAGCCACTTCAAATATCGTGTTCAGTATCGTGGTGATTTTACCAACCCTGAAATCGGTTCGAAATCGTCAACGTGAAATATGGCTATAATGCCTAACATTGTGCAGGGCATTGTACAAAATGTTGAAAGACACATCTGAATGACGACCGAGTTTTCTTCATTGGTACTCAACACGTTCATCGATATCACTCTTCCGGTTCAATTTCCTCCTGAATGAGACTTTTCCAATCTCTTTGTGCTGTGCAGGGAATAAACCTGAGGAACCCTTACTCCTCAGCAGAGATCTGCTGAAGGGGTATGTATCACACGACTAATTCGCATCTGAAACAAAGGAATGCTCAGTAGAATCTTCGGAACCGTCGACTCATTTCTGCAAAAATCTTTGCAGTCTGTAGAGATGAATGTTAAGCGTGACTGAGTGCCTGCTTTCCCACTTCGGCTGCTCAGTTCGGAAGAGGGGATAAGTTTGAGCTAGGAGAATCAGGCAGATCAGCAGTTTAGAAAAGCCCTCTGGCTCAAAGATCAGGCTTGTCATGATTTCACATTGATTGCGCTCTCCCTCTACTGTGTAATGCATGTTTTCGCAGAGGGAAACTCAAAGAATAATCTGGATCTATCGTAGCAGCGGAGCGGCCAGTCCCTCTTTGCTTTCGTCATCTCTGTACATTGATCTTGTATGGACCAATAAATTCAAGAAGGGAATTTGGAAAGGGAGAAAAGAACTTTGGAAACGTCAGCATTTATGGTTTTTCCGTTATATAAGAGTATGCGATTAACTGAACTATATTTGTGATTGCCGTAATTGCCGTAACCCAGGAAGCACTGCGAATTATCTTCTCAGTCGGCTTCGAGAAGAGCCACTTCTTTTCTCCTTCCTTTTCTTCCTTTATGCTTGACTGCCTATCTTCTTTAATCTCTACTAAGACGCTTATTGATGATTGCCTGTAGGTTGTGCGATTCCTCTCTGACGTGTCTGTTAGGGAGTCTTCGGACATCGGGGAGAAACGTCTATCGGAGTCACCTAGACTCTTCTTTACTAGCGTTATTGTGGAAATATTCGGCTAGCCGTTTGTATTTCTCATCGATAGTATCGGTAACGGAAACTTCCCAGAAACACGCACAGGAAGCGAAGTGATCCAATTGATGGTGGTCTTGGAGCCTCGTCTCTTAGATCGCTGCCGTCTCTTCGTGAAACGAAGTCTAGCGAAGAAAAGAGATTTCTGACTGATGACGATTTATGGAGACTACTCTCTACGAGCAAGACTACTAACGCTTGTGTGAAGAATGATAAAAAGAATCACCGATACAGTGGTCAAGTTGTTATTGATAGGTATATATGAACTCATCTCTACCTCTCTTTTTTGTAAAACACTAACTTGGTGTGTCGAGTGATATGGAAAGTTTAGCTCTTTTTTACACTTCTTTCTTATATATATATATATATATATATATATATATATATATATATATATATATATATATATATATAAGGCAGTAACTTGGTGGGTAGGGAAACGGAGTAGAGCGGGTACTGCGGTGTGAAGGGAGTGACGTGAAGTGGGTTGGCAAAACTGTGATTTCGATCTAAACCAACATCGTACTATGTATGTCTATACAAAAGTCAAAGGTGATAAAAAAGTTGGGAAATCTCCGCTTTCTGTCAACATCGAGCACTAGAGAGCTAGAAAGAGCTATATAGGGAGGTTAGCTCATAGTTGTGCTTATTAATGTTTCTTAGCCGAGAACATTACTTTTTTGTTCTGAGCTTCAGGAGAGAAGGGGGTACCGAAGTGGGTTAGTCAATCGAATACTGAACTCATATCCCATCCTAGCTTTTTGCACAGGTAATCATCTCACCCTCTCCCCTTCCACCTTTCGTCTAGTACCGTTTCTGAATATACTAGGTCAGGCCGACTACCCTTCCTCTGCACTCTAGCCCTCAGTGTTGGATAAAAGCAACACTCTCCCCAACTACACTTTCTAACTACGTAGCGAAAATAAGGAATGAGGCCCGGCGTAAGAAGCGCGACCCGACTGGTATAGCAATGATTTATTCTCATTCCTATCCTTCTCCTCATCCTACCGCGGCCACTACATGATGTGACCTATTCGATTATGGACTTGTCTGCCACGTAACTCCCAGATTCGTCGCTAAAAATGCGACATAGTGTGAATCGACAACAAACTTCGAACCATTTTCCACTCTGCTCAATCCATTCCATTTCTTAGGTTTTGATATGTAGCTCTACAACCATTCTTTGAAGCCACTCTTGACATCACCAACGCTGATTTTGGAAAAGTGAGGCCACCTCTTTTCAAGCACTGTGAGACGCTTTCAGCTCTTCTTCATCTTCAACACGATTTTGGTCGTATCCTACTCGGTATATCAAACATTTGTAAAAAACCATGCTTATGACAAAGTTCGCGTTGACGAGGGCTCTCAAAGTCTCTGCTGTAGCATTTTATGGAGACAATTCCCATAAATCGCATGCAAAGGCTTTGCCTTCTTCGCCTCAGTCGGTCCGTGATATCCTCCTAGCTTCCATTGGTCTTCGCTACCCATTTCCGTGCAAGTGTTCGTGCATTAAAAGTAGAAACAGTATCCTTGTCATTCTCCCTATTAAGAGCCTATTATGGCACTGGCATTGCTGCAGCCTCTTCCGAACCCGTCCAACTTAACGCAGTAGTATTTAGAGCTCCCTCTGCTTGAGAAGCAAGAAAGCAGCAGGGTTCTTGTTAGATGGTGACCAAAGAATAAACACGGCGCGATTCGTAACACGGCACACTCTCTACACGGTTGTTTAAGTATATGCGCTTACGAAGGACACGAGCAAAACTGAGGAAATGAAAACAACTTTTATGAGCAGATTAAGGATACTATTGACGACATACCGAGAAGAGATTTGAAACTTGCCATTTGAGACTTCATTGGAGCATTGCGCCAGTACCGAACTGGGGACCTAGGGGAACAGTACGCTTGTTATATGCATCAAAGCAGCGGTGGGGCCTCGTTCTGTGAGCGGAATGCGTTGTGGGTTGGAAATACGTTTGTTGAGCACAAAAGGGTCCATAGCGAAATCTGGTACTCGACTGATGGAAAAACAAGGAATGAGTTTGGCAACATCCTCATAAGCAAGAAGTGGCAAACGCCTCTTCGAGATGTTTGGGTGTTCCAAGGCGCAGACATGGATTCAGATTACCACTTGGTAAAGGAGTCAATCACACTCAAGCTGTGGGGGCAAGTGAAGAAAGTCAAAATCACTTGATCATTCGGTGTGGAGAAGCTGAATCCGGCTATCGCTGCAAGCCTTGCTCTCGAGTTGAGAATACGTTTTGAAGTGCTGGAAGAGGTGAACACTCTGGAAGAGGAGTGGACATCCGTTAGCCCAGGATTGTGCTCAGAGAGTAGTTGATCGAAGTCACCAGAAACGAAAAGAGCAATAAATCCAGGGAAGCAGCTAGCAGAAGATAGATGAGAAGAGGCACTGAAAGCTTCGGAGGGAGTATGCCTTTACCGCACTGCTATTGAATTGATAAGAAGATCGAGCAATCAATTCTTCTATCAAGGTAGTAGCGGCAAACTAATGCCTTCAAAACAGGAGACCTTCGTTCGCTTATTCAAGAATCGGTACCTCAACTCATGTTCCTGTATACAAACGGATACAGGTTATACATCATGCTGCAGAATCGTTATGGGAGTGCTACATCCGTTCCCAGATGCTTTTCAATACCTGCCTAGATATTGTCATGAGGAAAACGGTGCAGTAAACAAGGGCAGGCATAAGCTGGTTTAACGATGGAAAGTTCACTGATCTGGATTTTGCGGATGGCATCACACTTATTGCTGAAGATAAAATTGCAAAAAGTCACCGATATTCTCAATAAAGATGCAAACATGATCAGATTACGAATTAGCACCAGTAAGTCGGGAGCCATGCCAATCGGTCAAACTTATTCGCAGGTGTTAATAATGTGGAGACAAAGTTGCTCACTTCAGGCGACATACGTATGTACCCTCAAGTGGCTTGCCATGTTCTGACGTGCCATGAGAGTGGGTTGACCTTTTGAATTCCCAAACAAAAGAGTTTGGTTAAGCACCACAGCACCGGATTTCGGTAGCAACAGCGAACTCCCTGCACGACCATAAACACCTGCGAGGATACATAAGGTATCAAGTGATCTAAACAGCAAAAGCAAGCGGTCCATCTCGGTGTTTTGGAACGCCCCCCCCCCACCTGGCTCCTGGGGCCGCGCATTGTCACATATTGGCTAGAGGCAGAGAGCACTTTCGGCGAAAAAAATCCGCGGCCTTCCCCCCGTCTGACGTGGCAATTGCTAAATTTCGGAGGGCAGTGGAAAAGGTCATTCGCTGTTCTGTTCGCACCTACTCTACAACCACGTCTACCGTCCGCCTTACTACAACCATCTGAGGCAAAGTAGATAAGTTGTTCCACTAGTTTCTCTCTCAAAATTCGACATGAAATCACGTCGATGGAGATCTGTACAGCGGTGTCTCGACAAGATCAAACAATAACGCCTGAATCTAAATGGCCCTCCATCGGTTGTTTTCAATACTCTTGGTCGCTTTTAATGGTTTATCTGTCGAAATGCGGACAACCCACGTAATGGAAAACCATCCAGTCCGTGTAGCTTATAAAAAGGGAGATCCAAACGATGCTACCGCCTAATTGCCTGTTGTCTGTAACCTACGAAATTTTCACACGCGTCATCCTTAACAAGATGGGCAGAATATTAGATAGATCACAGCAATATGAGCGAGCAGGGCCAAAGCGTAGACGACCATATCCATGTCGTCGTTGGTCTCGTCCAACTATCCCAAGAGTACAGATGCTATGATGTCCTACGTTCATCGATTTGAGGGAGCCCTTCGAAGTGACAGATGCGATGATTCAATTTTTCGGTCATCAGGTCTTCCTTCTCAACCTAGTGATGGGCTTCACAACAATTTCACGACTAGAATCTCGCTATTCTGCAAAGAAGTCAGTCGTACTGAATTCGAAGAGAGGAGAGCGAGAGACCGGTACGAATTCGAGCGGGCTTTTGGTGTTGCTCTCAAGAACACCATGGGTAATTTGGATGGACTGCTGCCGTCACTCCTGCTTAGCAGACAACACTGTCCATTTATAGCTTATTTTTCTAGTCAACATCTCCGATCAATGAAGTTTTTTATTTATTAGGTTGATGCATAATTATTGCGGATTCCTTCAACAAATTTTATTTGACGAAACGATAAAAATACCGAACAAAAACATGTTCAAATAATTACTTCGAAACTTATCCACCATCGACGTCAAGCGCTGCTTCCCACTGGCTAGATACACGGATTCCAAAAGCGAAGACGTTTTGATCCTTGGAGAAATCTACGCCTTGACATCGGCTGTCAAGTCATTCAAATCGACGTAAGTTCTACCCCCTAGCCATTTTTTCAGCGAACGGTTGACAAGATAATTCATAAAAGTTTCTCTTGGTGAATATGGCAGATTTAGGAGCAGATCCCACTTCTCGGTTGGCTTTAGGTGGTTGTTCCTCGCCGAAAAGTTACTGAGATCGCGGAATGACTCTGCCACCTTCCAACCTTTCTCAAAGTAGTAGAGCTTAATTTCGCGAATATGCAGATGGTTTTTAAGTACATTTTTGTAGAGAAAGTCAAGCAAATCATTCCTTAAAAGAACATCGAGCTCAATATTCAAATTCTAGCTAGAGAAAAAAAAAGCCGCGGAAAAATCCGCGATAATTATGCATCAACCTAATACTAATACTTTGACTAACTGTCCGTAGACGACATATAAAAGTCGTAAAGTAGTTAGTAATAATATCACATTACAATAACGACAGGGGATGACTTGGAACAGCTTTCGTAGCACTGATTCGAATTCGTCTCACTTCGACTGCTCCCCGTCACGGCTTAATTATAAATTATTAAAATTGTTCTCTAGATAGATCCTGGATGGGCAATGCTATGCTCTCCATCCTACTCTTTGCGTTTGCCAATCCGCGCGAGGTTGTTGGTCTCACTGCCAAAGTCGCGTAAAATTTTCTCGAGTACTCCGGTTTCCAAAACTTGGTGCTATGCCCGGAATAGAAAATAGGTAAATCGAGGAGGTTGTTGGTGATTTCTTTCGGAACTTACTACGTATTCTCATTTATAAATGGGCGACTTTTGAACCCCTCCTCTCACTTATGACTTGCGTACTTATTTCATAGTGTTCAACTGGGATGAGTCTCTGCGTCCATTTGAAGAAGATGGCACTACACGGTGCTTCTCCGAGCTTAAGTGTAGACCATGTCCTTGAGTAGATTAGAACAGGAATTACTTGAAAACTGAAGAGATTTGAAACAAGACGATTTCGCTCCGATCGCAAAGACCCACAGCAAGACTGAGAAAATTGAACGAATCTGACAATCGATTGCATCGACCTTACTGTGGCTCATGATACTGGTAACACAAAAAGAGGCGATCAACAACGGATATATTTCAAAGAAAACTCTGTGACGAAGGCTTGTTCCGAAAGACAATTTTTTGCGTTTCACTTTATTTAAGAAATTATTCTATTGTTCAGGATTCAAGGCCTATTACCCGAAAAGGGTAAAAAAGATGAAGTCTCCAGAACTCATATCGTCACGGAGGATAAAGAAAAAAAGATGAAGGAACGGTTTGACATCGTTCTGGTCATAATGGTCGCTCTCAACGCCATATGCTTGGCCATCCTGGCCGCCTTCTTTTGCTGGTACATGACGTTTTCCAAGCGTGAAATGCAGTCTCTGGGCATCACTCACACACGTGGGGTAAGATCAGTCATCTATTGAAACGTAATGAGAAGAAATTGGTAAATATCTTCCTTAAAAGATAGTGCCTGATAGACAGGGAGGGCATGTGCTCGTTCTAGTTTCCCATCAACGGAAGAAGTTAAGTGTGAGCCAGTTGTCCCAGAGAGCTTCCTCAAACATAGGGTTATCCCGTCGTCTTCTGCGCTCCAGAGCCTGATTTCACTCGTTAAGCCTGAATAAAGGAGGATTTTCTGCTGTTAATATGCAACACCACTCTAAAATCTTTGATCAGAGTGTAGAATTCTAATCGAGATGAATGCACAAAAATGGAAAACAATTTCTGTGCTCTAGAGTTTTTTGATAAATAAGAGATGTAATAACCTAGAGCGATGACTATATTTGAATTTTGAAACGAACAAATCGAACAAAATGATTCCCTTCGCTCCTTGTTCTCAACCCTTGGACTCCAGGTAGGTTCGAAATCATAGGGCGGAATAAACTCTGTATATGCTGCTGACGCATCCTGAGTTCTTCCTAGTAAGTTGCCTCGTGTACAGCAACTGCCGTAAAAGCTTTAAAACTCACGCGAAAAACAAACTTCGCATATTCATTTTGATTTGACTCCATCTCTTCCATCCAGATTTCCTAACTTTGGATGTAAAATTGTGTCCAGATCATTCGGCTCTACTGGTGCTCAAAAACTTTATTTTGAAGGTCTCAAATTTTAGGCATACTTTCAAGTTGAAGCGGTTAGTCTCTTTTGAGTCTGATAGGATGAGAGCTATAAAAAGTTCCAGATTATGGTTAGTAGACTGCATGAATTCTGTGCCTCACCTTACTTCAGGTACTTGTCAGCCTGCGACGTGCTCCGTGGATTGACGACCCTTATTTCCTTAACATCCAAACTACATCACTGCATAAAACATAGCTCCATTGACCGCCAAAATGCTCTCCATTCATACATGAACTATCCCTCCATGACGTCGATGAACGTCGCTTTCAGCGTAACTGGCAAATCTTCCACGTCCCGCACGGCATGCAGTTCAAGTGATGGGGTCAGGTATGGTATCGTAGGCGTACACTTAAACAATGGACCAGCGCACTGACGACGTAGATCGTATTAGGACCGGATCTTCAGTCGGCACGATATTTTGCAAAACCGTTTCGCCTACTTGCACACACAACCATACGGCAGCGTTGCGAATTCTATGGGTAGAAGCAAAACCAAAATTAGAATCACAGTTCACGATGAAAATGGTTTTTGACTTTTCTCCCCAGGAATACCAGCAGTGAAGTCGCTGTCAGGTAAGAAAACGCAACAGCTAGGGCATAGTGGGAGCCCCGTTACTGGATCGCGCGGGTTCCTCGCCCCTCGATGGTGTGGCAGGCGAGTGCTGGGGCGATACAGATTGCAATATTCGCCCCAGGGCCACGCAATATCATGGTGGGCATCAAACCATATCTGCGCTCCAGCGCGGCCTCTATGCAATTTTCTCACTAGTGCTGGAAACGCAGAGCAGAGTTTCAGCTCTCTCAACCATTGCTTTCCCGCTTTTCTGCGTGAAACTCGTCCAGCCCCCATTTTACTACTTTTTCGGCCCATGTATTTCTTTCTGGGCTGTATCTTTAAGTATCCGTCAAAACCGAGTTTGACAGGATTTGTTTTTTGGTGTTAAACAGTGTGTAGTGCAACCGTTTGATATGATTTAGCGAGAAAAACCTACTTTATACACTAACTCGCTAAGTGTGTCTGTTGGTGTGTAGGTGCTTGTATGCGTTTGACCAGAAATTCATAACTCCTAACATAACTAGTCCATAACTCTAGAAAGTTCAAATTTGGTAGGAGTACCGGGTACAGGGGGGGGGNGGGGGGGGGATACTTATGGCATGTAGCAGGACCGGACTCTGAACACAGGGGCGGGGCGTGCGCCATGGAAATTTTGAGCCGCTAATTCTTAACTACTGTTTACTTGGACCTAGTGCGTTGAAAATCGGTGAGATTGAAGGCAGCAGGATAGGAACTTCTGTTACAGGTAGCATTGCCAGTCTCCGCCTACAGGGGGCGGAGCGTGCGCAATAGAAATTTTCAACCGCAGCTTCATATATCTGCCTACATGGACCTAGAGCGATCGAATTTGGTAGTAGCACAGGTAACAGGATGTAGACTCTTATAGTGAGTGGCAGGCCGGATTCTGCTGACAGGAGGCAGGGTTTGCGCGAAATAATTAAGTGAGCGAATATTCTTAACTCTTGTTCTCGTGGACCCAAAAAGCTCAAATTTCGGCTTTTCATATTAACACTGAACTTGAGCATTTCAATAAGTCATGTAGGATATGAAGGGATAGTAGGTACACGGTGATAGCAACCAATGACAACTGTTAAGAGATCATGAGGGGCCTAGGAGAGTAAGAGCCACCTACCAAACAAAATCCTAACTCTTCGTCATTTACTAAGTGGCTTTGACGACGGTACGGTAGAGTAGGGTGATAAAAATGATTGGTAAGTGCAGTAGTAGGGATCATTGGTGGCACTACGATAAGCAGATGAGGATTTTGTTCATACGTTCGGATTATGACCGCCTCCCAGCAAGGTTTGTATCAATGAAGATCCGTCTTCCCTCGATATCATTTGCGACAAAACTTAAGCTACCACCAGTAATCCGGAATTCTCAATAAATGATATCTGCATCTGTACGGGAAATGATCCAATGATAATAATATCTGATAATGGTGCTATCATCACTCGAAGCATTTGTGAGTACCATGCAAGGCTTTCGTCGCCTAACAGCTAGATATTCATTGGGTATTTATAGAGGCTTCCATTTAAGGGCATAATCACCGACCTGCACTAAAGACCATTTGCACTGCGGTGTTAGTTCTGTGCCAAACTTTGTGTTCAGTAAAGTACTACTTGTTCCAAGAAAAGAGTAGAGAGTTAGCCGATTACTACAACTTTGTCGAAGGAGGAAGGAAGCAAATTATCTTTCACCCTTGTTATGCTGTGTGCCGATAATTTGATCGAGTGACTAGAGGATGCTTACATGAAGTCAAATCGGGCCCAGAGATCTCGTCGAGCAATTACTAATCCGGGATCATTTTTATTTGTAAGGCGAATAACTCCTTCAACTGGAGGACCTTGAGAGCCTTTTTTTCTCTGTATTTCTCTCTCCGCCAAAGAGCCCAAGGTTTTTGCCGCCCGTCTTCGATTCTTTTCATCTGAGGCATTTTTAGTTCAGCTCCTACAAGCTCTTACCGACCTCTTTCCACTCCTTTTCTCTGTACAAATCGAACTCGCTTACATTGACCTTTGGATTCCACCGCTTTCCTTTCAAAAAGTGTGTCGGCTTACAGGCACGTGCCCATTTCTCCGCAGTTGACGCTGTTGTCTCATCCTTAGCTGGACAGCGCTGTTTCTTTGTGACCTCCCTGATCTCTTTGCTCATTTCTGTGAGCGAGTGAAAGCGTAGTGGTTTTTTTCCGAGCACATTTTCACTAACAAGGAAGGTCTTTCAGAGCGTCGGACGTTTTTTGAAAACGGTTTTGCATGGTATAGGGGCATGAGCACTGAGTATGGAACTATGGTCCATTTCCGCTAAATGGCCTTCTGAATGTCAAAAGAAAGAGAGAACATTATTTTGTCAGAAATTGCCGTTTTAACCCACCAAGCGTCGCTTGTTTCATTCATGGTGTCGACTGTCCGCACAGGAGAAGGCACCATTGGACTGCGCATTGAAATTAACGTGAACGGTAGCCAAAAAATGAGCCACATGTTGAATAATGCGGGAAGTTTTATATGTGCTCTCCATGGTTGAGCTGTGACGAATGGTGTGGTCGTGGTCGTAACCAGGACCAGCGATGACCTCTTCAAGTCGTTAGAATTTGATGTGTGAAGCGCTATCATTGGAGGAGCTCCCAGGCTTCACACTCTCAGGAGTCGCCCCTTCCCCCCTCAACTTCCTCACGTAGTTTTTTTCATCAGTTCGGCTGTTTTTGCATCCCTCACATCCAAAGTTCATTCAGTTTGTAAAAACTGGTAAATTAGTATGGTATCGTTTTAATAGTCAAAAGACTCGATATCATATCGTCTGATCTTTGGACATTGCATGGACATACAATCCTTGAATGACTTGGACGGTAATGGTTTGGTTGTTGTTTTATTTCGAACGAACCCCTTCGAAACTGATAAAAGGCGCGTGTAGCTTCGATGATTTCACCGTCTATTACCCTAGCTGATCTTGCGCCGTTGTAGGGTTTTTGAAGACTGTTCTTGTTGGTCATCCCCACTTCCTTCTCTCCTCACGATTAGTATTTTCTGCAGTCACCTCGACTTCAGCAATGTCCTTCTTGATCGCGTCCTGCCAGCCCCTCATAGCAGGACGCGGAGCTAGAGGATCGTATGTTGGGAACGGGTACCGCCCAAACCCTTCATCTAGTCATAAATCTAGTAATCTAGCGCTTGAGGGATTTCCTTCACAAGGAACAGCTTCTTATATCAAGCCCAATGCTCATGGATCTTTCAGCAAGAAGACGAGTTGAAAGAGAATCTGATTCGTTCTCCTACAGGAGTCCGCGGTTGACGCCCAGGGAAAAGTCGGAATCGGGAGCTACAATGAATATGGGAATCCTGTTATCTGTGCATCGACGAACGAGGTCGAGGATAGCTTCCATCGAACAGGAACCATATTATAGGGTTTTCACCTCTATTACAACACTTATATAGTGTGAAATGAGGAGACCCCTTTGTACCTCTGGGAGTGTAAAGCCTGGAAGTTCCTCCGATGATAGTGCTCCGCACAGCAAATTCTAACGACTCGAAGAGGTTATCGCTGGTTCTGGTCACGACCATGAACGGTCAGGCACTTGCTTTGCTCCTGGTGCAATATGGAGCTAATCTGGATGTGGCAGCATAAAATGTAAAAGCGGCAAAGCCCCGGGGTTGCGAACCACCAGCTCAGCCTAACCGTCCCATCTCGAGGTCCACGTCGCTGCAAGCAGCTTAACCATGGAGAGCACGTATGAAACTTCCCCGCACTTTTCAACATGTGGCTTATTTCTTTGCTACCGTCACGTTAATTTCAATGCGCAGTCCAATGGCGCCTTCTCCTGTGCGGACAGTCGACGCCATGAATGAAACAAGAGACGCCTAGTGGATTAAAACGGCAATTTCTGACAAAATCATTTTCCGTATTTTTCTTGGCATTCACAAGGCCATTTGGCGAAAATGGACCATAGTTCCATACTCAGTGCTCGTGCCCCTATACCAAAAACCGTTTTCAAAAAGCGTTTCATGCCCTGAAAGTTCTTCCTTGTTAGTGAAAGCGTGAGGAAAACAGAGAGTTTCCAAGTATCCAAGAGAAGACTTCCTCCAAAACTCTCGAGCTGATACGCCATCGTGGCATCGCACGATCGCACTGCAGGGAATCAACAACAAACGGTCGAACTTGCGAATAGCAGTTTTGAGTGAAGCGTCAAATCTGGGAAGAGCATTCGCGAAGCCCGACGGAGCTCCATGAATCATAGCACCAAGATGACTTCCCTTTGTCGTCCTGACGGAATAGTAACTGCATCTCCGAGGGCAATAGAGAAGGTCATCTACGACCTCTATTCTGATCACTCCGACAGCCACGTCTAACAGCCTAACCACCATCGACAAATAATCGCTCCACTGCTTCTCCCGTCAAAAATTCGACATGCCGACACGTCGACGAAGAAGAGCTCTGTCCAGGTGAGATCAAACCGGAAAAGCTGAAGAGTCTTCCACCCCTTATCGTTAGAATTCTGGCTAAGCTCTTCACGCGATATCTGTCAGAATACAAAGCGCCCACGTCGTGGAAAACTAGCAAGACTATGTCGCTGTACAAGAAGGAAGATTCCGATCATATTGACAACTATCGTCCAATCTGCCTGCTGCCTGTAATCCACAAACTTTTCACACAATCAATCGGCCATTTCCACACCCTTTTAGGACTCATCGCGAGAGTAAAAAATGCCGTTTGTCCTACGCTCGCTCGCGTATTTTTTAAAGAATGCCTTTGATATCGTTAAGACAGAAGCCGTTATTGAATCCCTGGGCTATCAGAGTGCTCCTACTCAACACATGAAAACGTTTCGTGAGCTCTACGGCAAATTCATGACCAGGATTTCGCCATTCTATAAATACTTCATCATTAACGTGAATGGACGAGCTCGACAGGGCGATACCATATTCCCCAAACTTTTCACTACCGTTCGCCAGACCATCATGTGTCATATGGAATCTGAGTGGGAGTGAAGGTCGACGGCAGCTACTTACACGTCTCCGCTTTGTAGACGACATGCTTATAGCCTCCAACATCGAGCAGGCGTAACAAATGCTGGGCAAATTCGACAACGCTTGTGTGAAGATCGGTCTGCAACCGAAGCTAGGGTAGAACACGTTTGTGAAAAAAGAAATGGTACCTGTTGCTTCTTCCCTGCTGAACGGAATGAATACCTCTGAATGCTCTAGCTACGCGTATTTCGGTGGGGAAGACAACATGATAAACAACCTTTCTCTGGAGCTGAGCAGAAAAAAAGGCAGCTTGGGAAGCGACAGGGACGAATGGAGACGTTACTGGTGCTAGCTTGAGAAAATCTATGATCAAGAAGACGACAGGTGTTACAGGTGATGTTGTGGGCGCTGCGTGTTACTTTATTCCTTAAAGACAGTATATGATGCACTGTGGCTCTTGGGAAGTGGCGGGTTAATAATAGATAACTTTCTTCTAGAACTTATGTACAAAATTAGAGCTTTCGAAATAGACGTATACATACTTGATGACTTTTTTAAAGAAAATGCCTCGGTTCTTATCATTTACTACCAGGGGGGAGTGTACAGCATCCTCCGATTAACACAAGTCATTTTGTCTATACATGAGGTTCAGAGGACCCATCAAGATATGTTTGACTCATGTACTTCCCGTATTTAGTGTTCACTGAAAGTAAGCCTGAAAAGTTCACTAAAGTTTTGAAGCGCTAGAGTTGAGCAGAAGAAATCAGATCAGTCATTCCGCCCTGCCTCGAGATTGAGTTGGGTTTAAGAAAGCTTTTGCTGCTTTAAAATGATTACAGAACTGAGTTTACATATCTTGTTGTTTCTTATCACACTTTTTGCTGAAAAGAAACAATCCTTATTTGAGACTAGGAAGACTACATTTCAGGCACGAAAAGTCTCAGTTGAAGATGTAGCTGGAAAGAAGAAATCCTCAGAGGAAGATCCTGCGAAAAGGAGATCGGCTGAGGCACTTTCCGCAGGGAATCTTTCTGGGGAGCAAGCGCAGGGTCCTCCACCAGCAGCAGCTCCGAGGAAGCCTCTGCCCGGCGTAGATCCGTACTTTTGGTGAACATAGAACAAAACAGCGATAAACAGTGATGCTAATCGAATAATACCAAAACATTCCATTTTAACGTTTTCTCGGATGTCAAATAAAGGCATTGGTTCTGACTATCATGGTTCTAACTCTGCATCGTTATTATTTTTCAAAACTACTATGAGAAACCTTTTCAGCATTCCGAAAATGAGCTCAGGTGAATTTTCACCTGTTGAATGTCTGCTTCTTATTAACATAGCTGAGTTTTCGTTAACCGAATTCTGAATTATTTAAAATTTCTATTCAAAATTGTAACAAAGCATTTATTAGGGAAAAAATTTAAGATGGGTTACGGGTTATTTCGTTTTCATGATGGTTCAGCGGAAAGGTTTTACTTCAAGTAAGATTATTTTACAACAATCAAATATAAACCAGTCGGTTTGCCCGGCTTACGCCGGGCCACATTCCTTACTTTTACCAAGCAGCTAGGAAGTGTAGTTAGGGAGGGGGGGGGGGGGGGGGGGGGGGGGGGGGGGGGGGGGGGNGGGGGGGGAAGGAGGGCGGCATTGACTTTATCAAGCACTGTGGACTAAAATGCAGAAGAGGGATTGCAGACTTAACCTGTATTTAGAAACGGTTCTGAATATGGTTTCAAGCTAAGCCTCAGTAGGGGAGGAGCGGCGGGATGGGGCTGGGATGATCACCTCGTGCAAAAAGGTTTGACGGATTATGAGTTGAATATTCAATTGATTCACCCACCTCCGTACCCTTTTACTCCCAAAGCCCAGTTCAAAAAAACTGTATGTTCTCGCCGAACAAACTTTAATGCTCACAATTATGGGCTATCCTTGAGCGGAATTCTCCCAACTACATTATCACTCCAATTTTTGTAGAGACATACATAGTACGATGCCAGTAGAGACGAAATCTTAGTTTTGAAGTACCCACTTCACATCACTCACTTCACACCGCAGTACCCACTCTACTCCGTTACCCTAACCACCAAGTTACCGCCTTATATATAAGAAGGAAGTGTAGAGTAGAGCAAGTTTTTCCATACCCCACCTTTATCCTAATAATAAGTTTTGCGGACGGATAGACCGACAAACCCACATACCGACACACTGACAAACTTACAAACGGGCACACCACGCTTCTACTGGGTAAATGAGAGAGATTTAAATTTACTAGAGGGAAAAACCAACGTTGAACTACATCGTGGTGTTTATATAAGACTTGCGCATAAGGGATACATATCATACTGTTGCATTCCTTAGAAATCTCATGGCAACAAAGCTATGCAAATGCATTGATCAAGGTGTATGAGAAATAAAGTTGCGACTGCTCGCTTTACTCCCCCAGCACTAAACATACGCAACTTGCGGAAAAATTGAACAATACGATTCAAGTGCAGTGAGAATTCAAAATATCACTTCACGACACCAATAATCTTTGGTAAGGTCTTGGATGGATGGTTCCACGTTGAGATTATGGCGAGCCTTTGAACTCGTTCGAACAATGGCAATTCTAGGGTATCGGTTCATGAACACGAGTATAGACCTCCTAATTAGGACTCTGTTAGCAGAGATTATAAAGTCGAGTGAGAAAGCTAGATGCATCTGCTAGATTAGAGGACGGCGGACCAAAGGCGAAGTGCGGATTAATCGTACGTCAGAAGTGAATTAGGGAAAGGCGATAGAACTGTTTGCCAACGTGCACTAATTGCGAGAGAAGTCAGAGCATATTATCATAATATTTACGGAGCCGCGGCGTACAGGTAGATTTGCTCCTATCATAGAATGTTGGAGAAGAAGCTTTAGCTGGGTCGAAGAGGACATTGTGACTCCCTTCAAGAAATGACTGATAATTCCGCAGTTTTCAGGGTGACAGGCGTGAAGGCGCGTGTTGCACAAGTGAAGGTTTTGGGTCTGTACCGTACGTGACACTGGATCTACAAATCGATAGCAGCTCCTCGTAGCGTGATTGTTATCGTTGTCCTCAAATGTGCAGAAAGCGCAGCCAGGTCGACGTGTTCTTTCGAGCAAAGCGTCCAGTTTGTTGCCCACGGTTGAGAAGGTCAACGATAACATCGGTTTTTGCGTTAAATGACATGATGAACACGTTGAGTTGATCCTCGGGTTCCTTGACGGTGTCGACGAAAGGCTCAATATGAAAGGCTACGTCGAATCCATCCATCGCTTAGCGCGAGAAACGATACGATTTATGAACTACGGAGTGAAGGTGAGTCGCTAGTGATCGCCACACTGATATGAATATTGATTTTATGCTTCCAACTTCAAGCTTAAGATCAGCGTGAGGTGTTGTTGGAGGGTTTTTGTTCCGTTTTTTGCCACAGCAGCTTTAAGGTTGGCGAGAGTACAGCTCGTTCAGTCCATCAACTCCTCGGTGTTGCGAATCAGGATAAAATGTGTTTAAAGCAACTGATTGTGTGCTAGATGACTGAGCAAATGATGTGAAACGTAGAGACCATAATTGTAAATAAGAAACCAAAATATGCGGGGCTGACCGAATTACAGTGAGAAGCAGCGCTGGACCCCTAGAATATGTAGCCAAAAGAAGTTTTTCAAAGGTCCTCGATGGCATCTACAGTGGGCATGAAATCTAGGACTTTTCAATCTCGAGACAATGTGGACGATGGTATCCTACAGAGTAAGATCTAATGTGTGATTTGTGTGATTCAAGAATTTGCTCGTCACTGACGTGTGATAGAAATGTATGGATTTAAAAAAGGAATAACATTAGACTACATTAGTTAACAACTTACATGGTGATTCGTTTCGCGTTTCGTTTACATGAAGGTTAGCAAAAAACAATAAAAGGTGTTAAAACACTCAATTTTATTGAAAACAAAGAGCCAAAAGGACCACAACCTAAAAACCAACAAAAAAAGAAATAACATTAAAATATGAGCAACAAGAATAACAATCTAAGAAAAACCTAACTCAGAACTGATATCACTTGATATTTTGTCAAACTTCATTAACTCATTATATTATGTTGATGCATAATTATTGCCGATTTTTTCGCAGCTCTTTTTCTCTTGATAGAATTCGAATACTGAGTTCGGGTTGTTTCTAGAAATGATCTACTTGATTTCCTCTACAAGAATATACTCAAAAAACCATCTGCATATTCGCGGAAAGAGGCTTAACTACTTCGAGAAAGATCGGAAGGTGCTCCAGTCATTCCGCGATCTCAGTAACTTTTCCGTGATCGAACAATCAGCCAGAGCCAACCAAGAAATGGGATCTGCCCCTAAATCTGCCATATTCACCAGCAGAAACTTTTATGGATTATCTCGTCAACCGTTCATCGAAAAAATGGCTAGAGAATAGAGGTTGCGTCGATTTGGATGACTTGATCGCCGATGTCAAGGCGTGGATCGCCCGTAAGGATAAATACTTCTTCGCTCTCGGGATCCGAGTAACTAATCAATGGGAAGCAGTGCTTGACGTAGATGGTGAATAAGATCCGGAGTAATCATTTGAATATGTCTTTGCTTAGTATTTCTGTAATTTCTTTAAGTAAAATTTGCTGGAAAAATCCGCAATAATTATTCGTCAAACTAATATATAGAGGCTGGTGAAATGCAGGGAAATGGAAAATATCAAAATGTTTGACCGTATTTGACCGTGTTTGACCATCAGGACATCATGTGTACTTTCACTAGATCACCTAATGAACGATCGCTGAAAAGTTACTGAGATCGCGGAATGACTGTGCCACCTTCCGATCTTTCTCGAAGTAGTTAAGCCTCTTTCCGCGAATATGCAGATGGTTTTTTGAGTATATTCTTGTAGAGGAAATCAAGTAGATCATTTCTAGAAAAAACCCAAACTCAGTATTCGAATTCTATCAAGAGAAAAAGAGCTGCGAAAAAATCCGCAATAATTATGCATCAACCCAATAGTTAGAGCGCGTTACCGTCGACGGTACCAAACTTTTGTTAAAAGGGAAGGAAGTAATTAAAACCAACATACCTGTGATGTAATTAGTAGAAGGCTAACCAGTAAAATATCAACATTCCATAACACAATAGTATAAATAAATAGAAGAAGCTGAAATCCAATAAAACATGCTAATAGTTGGAAATGCCAATGCCTTGTAGCGGTATTTTTTGCAGTGCCCGTTGCATCTGGCAATAGTACAATCCTGGTGTACGATTGTTGGCCTGTTGAAAATGGAGAGCCAGTGAAGTAATTCTGTTAGTCGCATTCAACTGAAATACATATTGGTCGCAATGACTACCACCCAATAATGTATCTTCGAGGAACAAGAAGCGGTTACTGTAGCTGCTTTATGACAGTTGTAAGATCTGGTTAGCGGCTAACCAGACGCTGTAGTCTGCTGAACAGCAAATCTAGCTATGTCGCGAATATAGGTAGATTCCATCGTAACAATCACTTTTTCTGTTGATGATTAAGCTGCCGGAGATTTGCCTTTCTTCAGCGACGTCGTGAAGGGATTGGATATCAGAAACACGGGATATATGTCAGCTCGAATATTCTTAACGGAATCATCGGGGCACATGCTTCTGTCGGAATCACTTCTACATCGCAAGCACATATCATTTTGTTTGTGCAATTATTGAACTGATCACGGGCTTTCCTTGCAGAGAAGCGTTCAAATGTCCAATGTTAACACGACAGTTATTGGAGTGTCATTTTAGGTTGACGTATGACATTAAAGCAATCGTTTTCGAGACCTTCTTGCTGAGAGATGATCCTGAAAATTCAGTTCCACAATAGGAGTTCACCCTGTACATTCTACATTTTGTATACGATTTCGCATTAAGGAAGAAGGTGGTGTATGACACCAGGGAAGGACCATGATCGCAGTGACAATATGCAGCCACATAGTAGTCCTCACTCGTAGTCTGTCACTCAGAGTACCATGGATTCGGGACGCATTTTCAAGCTCATCAATCACGCCATGAGGTTCGATCTCGGACCGCACTTTGATCTAATGGTGCTGAAAGGTTATAGTCTGTATCTTGAGTAAAAAATAAGTGC